CCTCGCCACTAAATCATCCCTCTGTACCTCGCCCACCTCCTTCCTGATCCCCCTAATCTCCTCCTCCACGCTAATGAGCCTTCCCGATAGCTCCCCTAGTCGCTCCTCCAAGCTACAGACTCTGCATACCTGGCATACCTCTCGTTCACTAGTCCCACCTACCCAATCCCCGCAACGAACGCATCTACACATCCTAGGCATCTTACTTAATGTTATTGATCCCTATTGACACTCCTACTGCTTTAGACTTATACTTTGCAGTACTTCACACTAGTTGTAACCCGGTAAGACTGTACTGTCCTAGTCCTTGTAGTAAAAGGAATACTACGAGTAATGAGCTAATACTTAAAAGTAATTAAGCTGATTGATACTGATCTAATGTGAAGTTGGAGGTAGCTATCAGAAAACTTATGAATACTGCTACAAAGTAGCCAGGTAACAACTAACTCACGACTTAGCTGACAGAACCTCGAGAGTATCCTCCAACACGTCCTCACACTACGAACGCTCGACCAAGACTCCAGACAGAGATTCCATATTACTAACCAGATTTGTCTTAAGTTCCTTTCTCTTCAAGTTTTCCTTCCACTGTCTAAGGTCATCTTCTGAGTCAAGTGGAAAAGTTGGCAAGTCTTCAGGAAGCTGAATATCAGTGAGTTGAGGGCTGAGCTCAATTGGGCTCCCAAGATTCTTCCGGAGCTTCTTGACCTCTTGGCTCAATCCAGATACATGTTCTCCAAGAGTGCGAAGAGTGCGAAACACTTTCTGCTGGAGCTCTAATGAGGGGACAGAAAGAAATCAGATCCATGATTTATTAATCACACTGCATTAAACCATCTCTGTAGCTGAATTATAGATAACAAACAGTAGACAAACCTTCTTGAGACAGTCCAGTCACAGAAGGAATACTCAAGGGCCACCCATCCTTTTGGCAGCTTTCTCCTACAAAAAATCAAGAAACAATAGAAGACCCAAATAGATACTCCAAATTATTCTTATAATGATCATACCAGGTTGTAAATGGAATGACCACAACTGAAATTTCATTCAATCACTCCTTTCATTTACTTATCCCACCATTCCCACTTGTAGTTGGGGTTCAAGCAGGCCGAAGAGCATATTCTGATGCTCTTAATCCCATACAATTAATGCTAGCTCAGCAAGTGGGATGCTCGGCCTCTCCTGTCAAAACACTTTCTTACAAAGTCATTCCAAATTGTACAAGGGCTGCTGACTGGTCTTTTGCTGGTCATCTTGGACTGAAATACTCTTTTTAGGTAGTCCCTCAGGAAGCATGCAGCAGACATGTCCAAACTATTGGACTAGAAAACAATAAATTCAGAAATATTTCTGACCCAAGACTCCTAGTGGATACCATAATTCTGTATATCACCATGTAAATCAAGTCACATGATGCAAGTCCAGTGACATGATTCTTCTTAATATCTTTCTCATACCCACTTCATTTCTTGCACTTCTATTACTTTTGACCACAAGTGAATGAGTAGGAGTGAGGAATTTAAAAAGTTTTGAAAATCTTGGGAAGTTTTGCAACCACTGAAAAAATCCCAGTAAAACTGCAGAAAACATAGATGTGTGATTTTCACAGCACCTGTCATTGGAGAACTCAAGTTTGAGAATTTAATTTCTCCCCATGGCAGCCTGCATTATTTGCAGCAAGCAATGCACAGGAATTATCAATGGTCCCATAACCAGAGTCTGGAGCCCACTCCAGCTCCAGTGCATTCAGAATTGAACCAATCCAATGTGCTCTGAAGTTCCCATCCATACTTGGCAAGAAAGAGCACCAGGAGGAAAGAGATGCATCTGTACCTCAATGTCAATGACACTGACCAACTCTAGGCACAGGCTGCAACAATGAATCTTGTTGATGCATACAATGAACAGGAAAGGAGAGGAGAGAAAATATAACCCTGTCAGTGTCAATGACACTGACCAACTCTAGGTACAGGCTGCAACAATGAATCTTGTTGATGCATACAATGAACAGGAAAGGAGAGGAGAGAAAATATAACCCTGTCAGTCTAAAACCTCATCCTGCTCACTTGAGCAGAACTTCTGGATATAAATGCAAACTCTGAGGATAAACTTTTATAATGGAATCAAAATATCTCTTTGGAAAGGAGAGGAGATAAAATATAACCCTGTCAGTCTAAAACCTCATCCTGCTCACTTGAGCAGAACTTCTGGATATAAATGCAAACTCTGAGGATAAACTTTTATAATGGAATCAAAATATCTCTTCTTTGTAGCATGAGAACTAACAATTAACAGAATGAAACCAGAAAATCATGGCTGAAAATTGAAAATTTGAAATTAATACCATCATCATAAGATGCAGGAGACTTGAACACCAGGGAATCTTGTTGGTGAAACACAGGAGATGTAAAATGGGAAGATGACTGATGTTGCTCAGAACTGATGTGCAACTGGGAAAAGGAATGGTGAAGACCTGAAGAGCCCTGCTGCAAGTGCTTAGAGGTTGCATCAAATGGATGTGGGGGTGGAGGAGGCAGCTGATGAGAAGCAGAAGATGAAACCAGGTGACTCAAAGGAATGCTTTCTCCAAGGTGATGGTGGCACTTCAAAACTTTGCCAAGATTCGTCATCATATTCATTATCTGAGAAAACTGTGGTCTTCTTGATTGGAGTGGATTTTCATGTCTCTTCATCATTCAACTCCAAGTCAGAGGGCTGCTCCAGATCAGAACTCTTCTCAGCTTTCCGAGCTAACTTTCTTGCTTCTTCATAATCACCTGCATCAATCAAGATAACAGTGAAAAACTCAATTTTATTGCTGGAAAAGTGCAGGACATCCAATTGTTTCATTTAAATGGGTCTACTCACCTGAGATTTGAAGCACTCTGCAGGAAAACTGGGGCCATGAAGAAGCAGGCATCACAGACTGCTGAATCAGCCTAGTTTTACTTTTTGTTCCTGGCCAACAACACTTTCCCTCAGACACCCAAGTAATGGGGACAGTGGCAGTTGCTTCCTCCTCATCAAACACCACAACAGCCCACATTTCTACACAAACATAGGTTCCAATAACTGCAGAGATGAGGCAATGAAGTTCAGAGCAGATGAAGGTATAGTTATATAGAAGGTGAATGCTTCAACATTAAGGCTGAGGGGCTGGTAAATCAGTCAATCAGGATAGTTTTCTTAAGTTGAGTCTCCATTGCCTCATGATGAATGAAGTATTGGGAAGCAAGCATGCCATCCATGATGAGGAAGGAGGACACACTTCTGTAGCAACTCATGCTCAAGCCAAGTCTTCTGCCGTCCTGTTCTCTTACATTTGAAAATATTCAAGTAAGAGGAAGGACATGGGTATTGATAAAGGTTATCTTTGTTCAAGAAAGGTCTGCCAACAATGGCTAACTGACCATCATCAACCCTAACAAAATTCTCAACCAGGACTACTTCAAGTTGATTGGTCAAAACACAATTATTTCCACATGACACTTTCACTTGATCTCCTTTGATCCAGAGGGATGAAATTGGACCTACAAAAGGTACATCTGCAATGGGTGTACATGTATTTTTTGCAAGCAGTGGCAATTTGTCTGAACTACATTCCTCCAGTTCTAAGAGCCGTTTGACCACTTGTTTCAGTGGTGCCTTTCATGATCGTACAAGCTTCTTCATGTGTTGAAGATAGTTCTGAAATGGGAAAGAGAAAGAATCAACTGGGCCATGCTTTCTCACATCATCACAGATGTGAATGAGGCTATGCATGTTGTATGTCACACTTTCTTGACCATAGAGTTGAGAACTTGAATTTATAAGCATCTCTGAAAGGTGTCTTGCATATTGAAGGTGACTACAGTCATATGCAAGACTTGAAGAAGTCAAGATTCTCATTGTCACATGAAACAAAAGAAGTGCTTGAAATGATGTTCATTTAAGGCATCCTTCAGGACAATTGGTCCAGTATATAAGAGCAACTGCCTGAACTCAGTGGCTTTCCATCTATCAAGTTCAGAGAAGGACCTTGGCTTTCTACAAAATTCAATGGGTATGTATCTACAAAGAAGCACCAGTGCATCAGATAAAAGAAGCTGAGCAGCAGCACTGACTCGACAGGTCAGTGGGCCAGATTTCCACAGAAGACAAAGCTTTCGCATGACTCCTAAGCAAGTCAAGTGCATATAATCATGGGGAAATTGTTCAACCATGTCAATATTCAACTCTGACAGAGGGACACACCATTATGATGCTTAGGATACTCTTGAGTTCTGAAATTGATGTCTGTATGAGGAGCACTACTAGTACATGGGAAAACAACTCGTCCGTGCCATTCCCGATTGAACAAACCTGTCACATCCATGATACACTGTATGTCCCTTTATCTGTTTAATGAAAGCTCTGGCTGGGGCATCACAAACAAACACTATGTCAGTTACTAAAAGAGAGACTAAACCTGCCATCAATGCCATGAATGATGCCATGAATGGCATCAATGTTTTGATGCCATTCGTGCTCAGAAATTTTACATCTTGAATTAAGTGTCTCAGGAATTCTCCACAGTCTGCAGGTTTCTTTTTACCACAATACACACCAACTGGAAAAGGTATTTTGTCTTTGGCATTCCTGATGAGGCACAAAATGGGCCAAAACTGTTGTTGGCTGGACTTGAACAGAGGAATGCCATCAATATTGATGGTCAGAGCAACTGAGACCATGTCAGAGTCTGCAAGCCTTTTAGAAAGAGCTTGTTTGAAACCAAAGTGATAATACTGACCACCATCAGACATTACCAGGCATGAAACATTACTGACCAAACTATAAACAGCTCGGGGGTCTTTAGGAAGTTCTGGATGATCTTCTGAAGACCTTGAAGCTGTGGAAGTGTGATATTGTAGGTGTTAGCCCATTCATGCAATCTGGCTCTTAGAGGCAGAATATGTAGCTGCTCAGATTCAATTCCTACAGAAATTCTTCCTTCACTTGAGGACTGGCCACTCTCCCAATCTGACAAGAGTCCACCATCCAAGTCTGAAGTCTCTACAGAATGACTCCCATGTCCACAACCATCTACACCAACAAGTTCCTGTGTCATGGAAAGGAAAGGAGAGAAAATATAACCCTGTCAGTCTAAAACCTCATCCTGCTCACTTGAGCAGAACTTCTGGATATAAATGCAAACTCTGAGGATAAACTTTTATAATGGAATCAAAATATCTCTTTTTGTAGCATGAGAACTAACAATTAACAGAATGAAATCAGAAAATCATGGCTGAAAATTGAAATTAATACCATCATCATAAGATGCAGGAGACTTGAACAGCAGGGAATCTTGTTGGTGAAGCACAGGAGATGTAAAATGGGAAGATGACTGATGTTGCTCAGAACTGATGTGCGACTGGGAAAAGGAATGGTGAAGACCTGAATAGCCCTGCTGCAAGTGCTTAGAGGTTGCATCAAATGGATGTGGGGGTGGAGGAGGCAGCTGATGAGAAGCAGAAGATGAAACCACAGGTGACTCAAAGGAATGCTTTCTCCAAGGTGATGATGGCACTTCAAGATTCAAGATTGCCAAGATGCATCATCATCTTCATTATCTGAGAAAACGGTGGTCTTCTTGATTCGAGTGGATTTTCGTGTCTCTCCATCATTCAACTCCAAGTCAGAGGGCTACTCCAGATCAGAACTCTTCTCAGCTTTCCAAGCTAACTTTCTTGCTTCTTCATAATCACCTGCATCAATCAAGATAACAGTGAAAAACTCAATATTATTGCTGGAAAAGTGCAGGACATCCAATTGTTTCATTTAAATGGGTCTACTCACCTGAGATTTGAAGCACTCTGCAGGGAAACTGGGGCCATGAAGGAGCAGGCATCACAGACTGCTGAATCAGCCTAGTTCTATTTTTTGTTCCCGGCCAACAACACTTTCCCTCAGACACCCAAGTAATGGGGACAGTGGCAGTTGCTTCCTCCTCATCAAACACCACAACAGCCCACATTTCTACACAAACATAGGTTCCAATAACTGCAGAGATGAGGCAATGAAGTTCAGAGCAGATGAAGGTATAGTTATATAGAAGGTGAATGCTTCAACATTAAGGCTGAGGGGCTGGTAAATCAGTCAATCAGGATAGTTTTCTTCAGTTGAGTCTCCATTGTCTCATGATTAATGAAGTATTGGGAAGCAAGCATGCCATTCATGATGAGGAAGGAGGACACACTTCTGTAGCAACTCATGCTCTAGCCAAGTCTTCTACCATCTCAGTCTTACATTTGAAAATATTCATGTAAGAGGAATGACACGGGTATGGATAAAGGTTATCTTTGTTCAAGAAAGGTCTGCCAACAATGGCTAACTGACCATCATCAACCCTAACAAAATTCTCAACCAGGACTACTTCAAGTTGATTGGTCAAAACGCAATTATTTCCACATTTCCACATTTCCATTTCACTTGATCTCCTTTGATCCAGAGGGATGAAATTGGACCTACAGAAGGTACATCTGCAATGTGTGTACAGGTACATGTATTTTTTGCAAGCAGTGGCAATTTATCTGAATGTACATTCATCCAGTTCTAAGAGCCGTTTGACCACTTGTTTCAGTGGTGCCTTTCCTGATCGTACAAGCTTCTTCATGTGTTGAAGATAGTTCTCAAATGGGAAAGAAGAGAAAGAATCAACTGGGCCATGCTTTCTCACATCATCACAGATGTGAATGAGGCTATGCATGTTGTATATCACACTTTCTTGACCATAGAGTTGAGAACTTGAATTTATAAACATCTATGAAAGGTGTCTTGTATATTGAAGGTGACTACAGTCATATGCAAGACTTGAAGAAGTCAAGATTCTCATTGTCACATGAAACAAAAGGAAGTGCTGATGTTCATTCAAGGCATCCTTCAGGACAATTGGTCGAGTATATAAGAGCAACTGCCTGAACTCAGTGGCTTTCCATCTATCAAGTTCAGAGAAGGACCTTGGCTTTCAACAAAATTCAATGGGTATGTATCTACAAAGAAGCACCAGTGCATCAGATAAAAGAAGTTGAGCCGCAGCACTGACTCGACAGGTCGGTGGGCCAGACTTCCACAGAAGACAAAGCTTTCGCATGACTTCTAAGCAAGTCAAGTGCATATAATCATGGGGAAATTGTTCAATCATGTCAATATTCAACTCTGACAGAGGGGACACACCATTATGATGCTTAGGATACTCCTGAGTTCTGAAATTGATGTCTGTACGAGGAGCACTACTAGTACATGGGAAAACAACTCGTCCGTGCCATTCCCCTGATTGAACACACCTGTCACATCCATGATACCCTTTATGTCCCTTTATCTGTTTAATGAAAGCTCTGGCTGGGGCATCACAAACAAACACTATGTCAGTTACTAAAAGAGAGACTAAACCTGTAGTAGTTTTGATGCCATTCATGCTCAGAAATTTTACATCTTTAATTAAGTGTCTCAGGAATTCTCCACATTCTGCAGGTTTCTTTTTACCACAGTACACACCAACTGGAAAAGGTGTTTTGTCTTTGGCATTCCTGATGAGGCAAAAAATGGGCCAGAACTGTTGTTGGCTGGACTTGAACAAAGGAATGCCATCAATATTGATGGTCAGAGCAACTGAGAC